CAAAACTGCCCTGTTTATATAGGCAGCCCATGCCTCAAAATGGCTGCCCCCATCAGGCACCCAGAGGCTGCCAGCTCCAGGCCTCCAAAGTGGCAGGCACACACAGTGCACTGCCACACAATGCCATAGTAGGAAAAGGGGAGAAGTAAGACCCCATGCCTGGTAACTGCATTGGTACAGAGCTATAGGTGGCAGGACATTCTGAGACAATGGTTTTAGCATGCAGTTAGCAATTGCTGGGGAAGGGAAGAGTCAAAGGCATTAAACATCTTTGTTAGTTAATGGCATATGAGATTGGGGGGAGGGTAGTTTATCCTCTGAGTGTTGCTTCTTATGGGTAGTCTCAGGCAGCTGTCTTCATAATGATGGTGGCCCCTGATGTGCTCAACGTATATGTCTCTTGACCATTGTAGCCCTTCTCCCTTGGGGTATCAGCCTGTATTTGGTCAGCGTTTGCTTCCAGACTTTGTCAAAAGCCTGCTAGTGGTTCTCAAATGGAATGGTCATGTCAATCATTGGGACTTTTTGTTGTCTATACTTGATCTTAGAGGGACAAGGGATACAACACAATGGTGCAGGTGCTCATCATTGGAGCACTTAGAGCATTGGGACCCAAGCAACAAGAGCGTCTTGCAAGCCACTGCTACTTGAAACTGATGAGGTGCTTCCATGATATCCAGTTCCACCTGATGGTCAAGATACTTCTGTGTTGAGCACATTACAGGCCTTTGCAAATACAAAGACAGTTGCCCAAGATTTCCGGCCAGAAGCAAGACTGAAGGGACAGACTGAATCCTATCCCTCTTGCACCATTAAGTGACAAAAACTTTTAATGCTTTTGACTTTTCCTGACCCCATAATTCTACACCGCATGCTAAAACTGTTGTCTCAGAATGTCTTGCCACCTTACGGCTCTCTACCAATGCGGTTACTATGAGCAGGGTCTTCCCTTTTTTCCTATTGCACCATGGCATTCAAATGTCTTAACTCCATATGCCCTGGGCTAACATAGACTGCATGACTGACTAACTCATGCTTTAGATTGCTTTCACATACACAAAATATGTACCTTTGTAACTACCATGCACAGGATCCTATATTTTCTTCCAACTGTACAAAGCCATGTAAAGAACTATGATTTTTAACAGATCCTAATAAATTTCTAAATCTGATCTTCTCTTTCCTTCACCAATAAAGATTTTCAAGTATTTCATTGTTTCTAATTTATATAGGCTTGAAGGAACCTGTTTTTTTTAATCTTTCATTATTTATGATGCTTGTTTCAGGGTTTTTTTTTTAAGTGTTCAATGAGTCAAACTGATGTTTTAGGAACTTTAAAAATGCTCAAATGCTAACTTTTGGTGTTTTAAAATTTCATAGTAAAAGTTACGGTAGTGTAAGAGTGATGTTGTAGCTGTGATGGTTGAAGAAATGATGTGAGAGGCAGCAATTTCTTAGGGTGATATTTTTTTAGGACCAACTATGTAATTAGACAAGATTTTGAAAGCAAGACTTTTTTTGTGAGATCTGATGAAGAATAGTGCCTTGCATTTGAAAACTTATCTAACTTTCCCAACTATATAGTTGGTTCCATAGAAGATATCACCCTAAGAAATCCTTGCCACTCACTGTAAAAGCTGACAGTTATAGGAAATACAAGAATAAATGCAATGATATTGTACATAATTTTCATGTTAACTCCCTTATGTTAATGGCAACAAGAAGGTGTGCTTAAATGTATCCAGTGTAATCACTCAATACTTCTCTGGTGCCTTTTTACCCTTGTGAGTTTAGAAATTTTTTCTCATCAGTTTTTCGATTGAGGGGAGAAAATTCAACAGTGATTGACACTTGATGGATTTAAATCTATTTGAATTCTCTCTATACAAGATGTATAATTATTGAAGAACAATGCATGGTTATTCTGATTTTACCTGAAAATCTAAGAAAAAGACTGGCATTTCTATTGTTTTATTAGGTCATGATGGTGCAATTAATTCTGTTGGCTGGAGTCACAACAAAAAGTGGTTAGTTTCTGCATGTGAAGATAGAACAGTGAGGATCTGGTCAGTCTGCAATACAGAACCTGCCCTGCTTCTGGTAATGAAATCTCCAGTATGTTAAATACATTGTGGTGCATTTTATCTTTATCTAAGACTTCCAGTTTAGTAACTCAGTAAGGTAAGTGTAAGGAGTGTAGGAGTTGTAAGGTCAGGTTTTTTTTGTTTTTAGACTTGCTAAGAGTTGCATCTCCAACTGATGAATGTGGGGAACTATGGGTACTCAACATCTTGTCAGTCACATCTTATCTCTTTTAAGTTAGGCATCCAAAACAGAGGCATGTGGGACTAATGAATGCTTCTAAAGGTTTTGCCTTTATTACCTATGATAATTAGTGCTTTATTTTTTCATTGACTAAAGCCAGTTTGACTTCATCCTGTTCCTCTTCCAATTCAACAACTAAAAGTTTAATACGAGAAGCCAGATAATATTAGGCTTAATTAAATACAGATGTTAATAACCTTAGTGCCAAAGAACTTTAAATAACAAAAAATAGGCCTTGAGATGAATAGATATTGAGTATACAAAGGTCCTGGCTTTACTCCAAAGGTTAACTTTTTAGCTTATGGTCAAGGTGGTAGTTCCATAGGGGAAACTATAACGTAATACTAGAAATTTCATGGAGAAAAATTTTAAGTGTCCTAGAATCCATTTCTCTTTACTTTGAATTTCAGGGCAGGGAGATGTTCCAGAAATCTGTACGCTTTGCACAGTTTTATTATATAGATAAGTTTATATTGCTGGGTTGCGGAGCTGAATTTCATCTCGTAAACTGCTACCTTGACATAAGCAAGGATGACCTAAAACGGTGGGTAAAAATTTCCTTTAATGGAACACTGAAAGTTAGTTGTATTACTAGGCAATTTGTGGAATAGTTTAACAAGCTTAATGGACAGAAATGGACTATTATTTGAACAAATAGTAGTTGTTTATTTTATATTTATTTTTGTTTTGGCGTCTCAGCATGAATTATGTCTACAGGTTTTTGATGGTGCATTCTTGATTCGCTTCTAAGGCTAATGCTGCTATTACTGTTAGTAGCCTCCTTACTTTCACTCTGTCTCTGCTAAAATATGTATTAATCCTATAATTGCTTTTCAGTACTATTGAATGCCTTTCTTTATGGTCTGCTTCAGTATTTTTCTGAATGTCAGAGGGTCCAAAATGCTGTAGCCAGATTACTTGCTTGCTCTGGCAAATGGAACTGTATCACTTCTGTTTCTTTCACTGGCTTTCTGTTGTCAAATACGATTCAATACTGTTTTTAAGTTTTGAAACTTCTTTATGGATTTCCTCTATTCTGTGATAGGTCTCTTACATTACACTCACCTACTAGTCTCACATTTACCTTGCTTCTCTAACTATAAGCCTCCTCTCACCCATTTCCCAGTAAACCTTGACTTTTGTGTCATTCTTTCCTGTTACATTTCTGAGTTCCCATTTATATGGGAATGTGCCTGTCCCTCCAAGCCACTGAGTTGCTTCTTTTTTCAAATCTTTCTGTAAAACATTCTTCTCTCAGCTCAGAGTTGGAACTAAACATCCTTCTGGCTTCCCTTTGCTACATAGTTCTGTTCTTTATTTGCTGTTGTTAGTGTACAGCAATTATTTTGGATATCTTTCTAGTTTTAAAATTTCAGTTTTCAATGTCATCTTTGTGCTTCAAATACTTCCTATGGATTTTTTTTCCTAAAGTTTCAAAATATATTGATATGATAAATTTAAGGAGAGGAAGAAATGGAAAAAATAATGAGCAGAATTGTAAGGGTATCTTGCTATTACTACAGTATTAATAATGCTATTAAATGATGTATGTAAACATTTTAGGGTCAGATCCTCAACTATGGACAATTGTGCTTTTTGGAAAAAAACAGATTAAGCATATGATTAAGTCCATCTGATCATTTCAATGAGAATTAAGTGCATATTGAAGCCTTTAACTGAATAGGTATGTTTCCAGAATGTGCAGGATGAACAAAGCATGTTTCATAGATTCATAGATTGTAAGGGGCTGGAAGGGACTTGTAGACCATCAGGTCCAGCCCCCCATGCTCTATTCAGGAAGACAACTGGGGTTAGGTGACCCCAGTGAGGTGACTGTCTAGTCTTCTCTTGAAAAACCTCCAGGGTAGGAGACTGCACCACCTCTGGAGGGAGTTTATTCCACAGTCTGGACTGTTTATTCTACAGTAAGGACACATTCAGGTCCTTAAACTAAAGGCAACAGTACCAAGTTAAAAAAAACCCCAAACAACCCCTCCCCCTGCCAAAAAAAGAAAAGAAAATGCCAATCAGATTTAAAACATTTTTAAAAAATAGAAGTTCCTTTAGATACCTGTTTTTTTATGATTATGATTTTAAAGTCAGCAGGACCATAACACACACCTAGTTTATCTTTGAACTATACGTTGTTCAACATGGGGAATTAATTTTCTAGGCATAGATATCTGTTTAGTTTTATAATTCTTTGTTGTGATTCCTTACTTCCCATTGTTTTTTGCTGTGGCCAGAATGATAATCTCTTTAATCTCTCCCATTTTCTGGAGGTTGCTATGATTCTTTTGTATATAGTTAGACTAACAGTAAGCCACTCCCTTTAGAAGGAATATAATACACATCTCTTGTAAATGCTGTAATTTAACACATTTTTATAGCTGGTTTGTATGGTACCTTAATTTAATGTGTGGCTGGGGATGATAATCAGCTGATTGTAGGTCCTGGGGCCTGCACTGTACTGGGCTCTGGAACAGTGCTGGGACCAATAATCAAAGCTGTGGTGCAGGAACTAAAGGGATTCCCCTGTTGGACACTTTGAACCCTGCCCCCAAATAGCTCCGGCTGGCTGCAGGGCACAGGAGATCAGAAACTCCCAGTGGGAGCCATCTCCCATGCCTGGCATCCTAGCCAGAGCTACCAGGGGCAGGGTTTTGACAATCAGCTGGTTGTTGGCCCCCACCCAGACAGTCCCAGATCTCAAAATCGTGACTGTTTGGACTGGGGCTGATAATCAGTTATCTGTCCTGACGACCCAGAATGAGCTGGACCCAGGTCTGTCTCACACTGGGGTTAATAATCAGCTGACAGTCAGTCCCTGGACATCCTTGGGTCTTGAACTGACTTGGGAGTGTCTGGCCAGGGCTGACAGTCAGTTGATTGTCATCCCTATGTGCAAAGCTTTGGCACCTTGCCAGTGCAGGAAAAGCACAAGATTATTATCCAGCAATGGTAAAACTTCCTCATCTCAACATACATTACTGCTTACAAGAGCAGAAAAAATTCAATAATCAGTAACCTCAAAGAGAGTAGAGAAAGCTGTTGGGAGAAAGAACAGTCCTCACATAAAGCACAGATCTATAATTTAGGAGATGTGGAATCTATTACTAGAATTTCAACAAGTATCTTGTGTGAAATTTATAAAGAATATTCTCTCTGCCTTTGTTTCCCCTTTTATAAAATGAAACTCATATTTAATCACTTCACAGTGATACTGTGACAATTTATTAATGTGCTTTCAGCCCTTTGAGACCCTAACATGGAAAGCTCAATAGAATAGAAACATGCTAATGTTGTTGTTGTTGTTTGCTCTGTTACTGTCTTTACCTCTAAAATATAGAGATAATTTATTATTTACCAGACTGTACTACCACGCTCTTCTAATTAAAGGATTAAAGCATTCCTTTTGGTTCAATCGAGTCTTGTTGAATCTGTTCCATTTAAGCATTTTTCCAAACTTGACTCAGAGCAAAGAGTAAAAGAACTATGAGAAACAAAAGAAATTACACAGTGGTTCATAAAATTAAGAAATGCTGGGAAATGGCCTGGAGGAAAGCCACAAGAAAATGTCAAACCAAATTAGCCTTTTTAAAAAACCTTTGGTATAACTGGATCTCAGAATAACTTGTGGGTTTTTTGTAATAACTTCAGTTGCATGCTTGGTCTTTTGGCATTAAAATAATATCCAGAGAACCAAATGGGGTAGGTTTGGGAGTTTGCTGGCTTGTAAGTGATACAGAGAATATGTTTACATGTGATAGCATGAAACTGTGACAGCATGAAGCTCAGTTGATTTACCCAACACCTTGTGTTGATTCTGCAGTCCATAATGAGTTCCATTTTACTGTCTGCTCTGCTAGCAGTACTTCAGTCACCTCATGTAAAGTGGGGGTGCTTGTAGGCCAGATCTAGCCCCTGGCACTGTGGCATCCAGCCTACAGGCCCTCCCGATGCCTCCACGGGAGCCCTATGGGCCATGTGCACTAGATTGGGCATGTGATGCTTAATCCTGGCCCATGGGGCTGGGTGGAGGTAGCGCTAGGCCCTGGGGCCCAATTCCTTTACACAGGATTGGGCAGGGGCAGCACAGAGCCCCTGGAACCTGATCCTAGCATTTGGGGTCAGGCAGGGGTGGTGCAGGGCCCTGAGGCCCAATCCTGGCATGTGGGGTCCAATCTGACCTGTGGACCTGCCCTGCGCCCCTCATTTGGCCCCCAGGGCCAAAAGGCTGTGTGCCACTAGTTTAAAGCTATCCATCTCATGTATGTCTATGACCCCTGGCACATGCTCATTTAATGGTATGATGGAATCTGATCCCAACAGTCACACCTTCTGCCATGCCACATGTGCATGGCAGTAAAAGCAATTTTGGAATTGGGGATCAGATCCAAATCACACTGGTGCTACTTGCCAGTGCAGGGAGAGCCCGGGATAATAATTGGCAGAGCACTGTAACTTCTGCCCAAAGCAACAAATGACCTATGGGTAGCATCTTGATGAGGCTTGTGTTGTGGAAACAAAACTGTATTTAGAGAACAGCTTGCAATATGGAAGTAACAGTCTTGCTGCTAGCCTTTGCAAAGGTCTGGAACTTAACCTTATATGACATAAAGGCTTCTTCTAGGACAAGTGGCATTGCAGGAGACAACCTGCTGTGCCAGCAAGTTCCTAATGCCAGACTTCCTGGACATTGTGGCTGCTAACAAACATAGGGAACACCCCCCCCCGCCCCCCCCGGCCGCTCCTTCCCCTTACACTTTCCTGGAAGAGGAAACGCATTAATCTGACCTGGCAATTAGGTGCTTCAGTGGGGCTTTTGGCTCTTTTGTCTAAATTGATTCAGTCAGCTATTAGATAAAAGGGCCAAAAAGCCACGCTGAAGCGCCCGATCTATATAGATATTGGGCGAGCTGGGTCAAATTAACACAGTACATCTTCTGGGCATGCACTGTGCTTAGTGCGGGGGCGCACTGAACTTAAAGTGCTGTTTAGTTTGGTTGGGGTTTATTTTTTCATCTGTAAGCAGCCTGTGTTTCCAGAAGGTTTTACTCTGTCATAAAGTTATACCATGACTCTGGAAAAATCTTTTTGCCTACATTCTGCCTTCCAAATACAGAGTACGTGTTTATTTGTGGGCATGTTGTATGCAAGAAAATACAGTATGATTTTGCAGTTATAGTGAATTCTTTGTTTTGCTGAAAGTAAGATGGTTCACGCTTCTCCTCTTTCAAGTTTCTTAATTTTTCATATTTTACCTGACTCAAAAAAATAAAAACAAAACACCCTCCCCCCCCCCGGTAATAAGATTGCCATTTTCAGATTAGTTTTCCTAGCACATACCACAAAATATTTGTTGTTCTCAAACCTTGTTATGTTTATAATGATGATGGTTTGCAGCCTTTCCCCTAGGCTTCCATGTTGTGTGGAGCCATTTTCCCTTTTAACATTAATTTAAACCAGTTATGTTTTTGTTCTAAATTTTTTATAAGTCTTTGCTTTTGAGCATGCTGGTAAATCTTTAGTTCTGTTATCAAA